TTTGGCTGGTTTAGGCTGCCTTTCAGGGCGGGTCTGGTAAGGTATCCTGCTCTTGACTGCATTTGCATGAGCAGGCACTTAAACAACTGAGCTAACCCGCAGGCAGCCCATGATGAAATTTTTTTTTTTTTCTACCTGTTTTCACAGTTTGGGTTTTAACTAAGCAAAGTTAGTTTCTATTAATTACATGGAACATATCTTGATACATCCTAATTGATATATCCTCACATTTGAAAAAAAAATAAAGAATCTAATTCTCAAAAAGAGTAGGCTACTTAATTAGGATCTGAAAGTAAGTTAGGACCAGAACCCAGGCAAATCCAGATTAGACAACTTCTTTACCAGAACATCATAACCTACCTTATTTAAAGTTATAGCATTCTTGGAGGGAGGGACCTACTACATTTCTAGATAACTCAGTTGTACCAAGAACAAATTCTGGGTTATAGTATAGCTGTTTTTTTTTTTAACCTATTGGATTCTAGTTCTAGCCATAGTTACATATCTTGGACCATAATTTGTTCTTAATTGCTAAAATATTAACACCACTCATTGCATGCAAATAATACATAAGAAATTCACAGGATAAACATTTAATTTATAGAAACAAATAGTGTCAATACAGTTAACAATATGACGGTGTCTCAAAACAATGTATCAGTGTGCATAAAGAGCATAGGCACATGGGAAAATGTACCCTGGGTCTCCACTTATGTGATATTCTAGCTTGATGGTGTCCAACACACATCACAAAGTGGCTGCTAAAACTTAGATTAATTAAACGTGAATAAAAACAAAAATGTAACTTCTCAGTCATAGTAGTTTCATGTACCTAGGGGGCAGCTATACCAGAAAGTACAAATTTAAGCTGGGCACAATGTTCCACACTTGTCATCTCAGCACTCTAGGAGGCTGAGGTAGGGGGACTGCAAATTCCAGAGTAGCCTGGGCAACTTAGGGACTTAGTGAGACTCTGCCTCAAAACTACATAAATAAATAAAAATTAAAAGAGGCAGGAAGTGGAGCTCAGTGCAAAGGTCCTGGGTTCAATATTTAGTACCAAAAAACAAAACAAAACAAAAAAAAAAACCTAAGGAAACCGACAATATTTTCCTCTTCATAAAAAGTTCGAGTGAATAACACTTTACAAAAATTATATCTTTAATTTCCAATGACAGAAAGTGAGGCAGTGAGGGGTAATGGAAAAGTTTCATGTTTGATTATGATGGAATTAGCATATACGGTAGATAATGTATCAAAATGCCTCAAACTGCACACTTAAGATTGGTGAACTTCATCATATGAAAGTGATACATCAGAAAGCCCATTCGAAAATGGGAAGTGCTTTATAGAAATTATTTTAATCAGTTACAAATGTGTCATTAGATTTCGCAAACATACACACATAAGAATTTACTGTAGAGTATTTTCTTGTCTCTGAAGATGCAAAATGAATCTGATAGCCAGACTGGCCTCAAACTGTTCATAGTCCAGAATAGAAACTGGTTGCTTGGGCTGGCCAAATAGCTCAGTGGACTAAAGAGCCTGCTGAGGCAGAGCGCAGGGGCTGGGGTTCGATCCCCGTCGTGCCATGCTGGCCCTGCCCCGGGAGCGCACTGAGATGGTGATTGAGACTGGGTGTGGTGGCTTGTGCCTGTAATCCTAGCACTTGGGAGGCTGAAAGCAGGAGAATCATTATGTAGTGAGACCCTGTAGACCCTCTATCCCATAGACCCTGTACTAAAACTGGCTGCCATCCCTCAGGAAAGTCATAGAACTTATGGAAAGAAATGTGGATATGGTATAATGATTTAGGAAGTTAGACATAGGACAGTTTCCTTTTATCTGGAGGGGTGGGGAGAATTGCTGGGTTTCGAAGGATATGTAGATGAGGTTGAAAACATCTCTGATAAAGCAAAATATGATCTAAGACAGGAAGGCAGCCCAAGAATCATGTAACCTACGGGATGGAGGCATGAGAAAGAAAAGTTGTGAAATCAGTTTCATGGGTCTAATTGAGAAGCACTTGATTATAAATGCCCAAATTTGGCAAAGTGTGCGTTCTTGGCTATTACAAATTGAGAAGGCACATGTGTTCCTCTCTTACCTTATGTCCGTTGTTCCAGACCGTAAATGCTGCTGCTGCCCTCAGCCCTTCGTCGTGCCCTCCGAATAAATCAAATGCGTTCACAAACACCATTCAGACAGGCAGGCCAGTAGGGCAATTATGTTCTCCTGGGCTTCTGTCTCATTCATTCTATGGCAATCTTTGCCTAAAAGACTTAAAGTCTCTGAAAAGAGTCTGCCTGTCATATCAAAGAAATAATTTATACATTTGTACAGTAACCTGAATCTCCCGGGGGAAAACGATGTAATATAAATATAAGAGGCAGTTACAGTAATTATAGTATAATAGTCATTTATTTTCCCAGGTGGTGGATGGGTATGTGATAAACTTTTTAAAATTAAAAAAAAATATCATACACACACAAAAAATGCTTGCAAGTCCACCGAGAGTCTACAGCCTGGAATGGAAATTTAAAACATAAGAGCTCTTCTTTATTGGTAGAAGCATGAGTTGTAAATAAGACCTTGGAAAGGGCAGAAGCCCTTGCCCCTCTCAGGTGGGGTACAAGGGCCAGCCGGGGGGAAGAACCTGAGGATGTTGTGGAAACGCAGGGTTTCAGGCTGCAGCACGGTGCTTCTGAGCCAGAATCGGCCTTTCCAGGAGGCTGACGGGCCATGGCCACTTGACGATCCCTGCTCTTGAAATCACCATTCAATTCATTCTATAAATGAAAATATCAGTGTCTTGGTGAGGGGGCTATCTGGTCATGACGGCAGGAAATTGATTATTTTCAATTGGAAAACTTTGCCTTTAGGTCATCCTTCTCGCCAACAGCAGGGAAGGGACTCAAGCGCTTCTTCCACTCCAATTAACAAATATATAATTAAGTAGTCCAATGATCTTCCCTTAAAATTTCGCATTTTGCAGAACAAGCTGTTTGATTTGGCTGGGGCTCAGGCCAGCATGTTTGTGAATTTCACAATTCACAGATGTTAGCCACTCTCAGGCTAAGTTAAGGAAGAGAATGTCAAGTTTTAAATAGCTTCCCTCTTCTATCCTGGCTGAAACAACTAAACATCTTTATGAGACACATTTTGAACCAGAATTTCTTACAGGGAAATGTCACATTTCTCCACAAAAGACTTCAGATTGTCTCACAACTTTGCCACCTACTGAGTCGCTAGTGTACAGGTGTTTTGTGATTGGAGACAAAATAGAAAATGTGAACTTGCCATGTGAATGATACTTTGGTACATGCTTTTCTTTTCCTCTTGGAGTCCATTCGCAGTTAGCTTCTGAATCATATTTCATTCAATTTCCAAATCCCCAGAACCAGGGTAACTTCACAGCCCCAATTCAGAAAGGAAAGAAATCCTTTCACTTCACACCATGCAGATTTCTGAATGTGTGAGCAAAGTTATGATTTTATTTGAAAATAAATCAAGTCAAAACAAAAAGAGAAAAAAATGAGACAAAAGAATAATACACACTGATAGAGACTGAAATAAACTAGAACTTTTTAAGAGGACACTTGAAATAATTTTATAACTTTCAAAATATTCTAAAAGAGAATGATTTCATATCTTAATATCTCTTTAAGAAAATTATGACAAATATTTGTATGGATGTGTCAGAGGTAGGATATGTAGACAAGTCAATAAAGATCCTTCTCCTTTGTTTGGGGCAGACAGTATTTCTAAGGAGATGTGAATAGATATTGCTCTTATTTGAGTGAAGAGTGCGTTCTAGGTTAAATATAATCAAGGAATTTCCCTGTCTTTGCTATTTGAGATTGTGACCACAACAGGCGGTTGGCTGAAAGGAAGGCTGGAAGGGGGAGGGGAAGAGACGAAAAAACCCTTCTCTAAGCAGCTCTGCAAAACTGCACAACATTTCCACCCCTGAAGCAGCCACAGAAGCCCTCAGATCAAATCAATGCTCAGGTACAAGGACATGTTAGGTAGCTGGAGCGTGGTGGACACTCCTTGGCACAGTTCTGTTACAAAAGTCCTGGCTGCTAAAACGAAACTCTGATACCATTCATGCCAGCATCCAATCACGAGCCAGAGCAGAAGTTCAGAGATGCTTCCAAACTGCCAGCAACAAGTGTGGGTACTATACACCAAGGACTCTAAAGCCGTGCTGGAAAGCAAGGAACAACTTTAGAGAGGATGCCCAGCTGGTAAGAATCAACTGTTTATGATGTTTTGGTCACCTGATGAATGTCATTGGCTAAAAAGAAGGAATGCTCCGCCTCTTTGCAAATATGTGTGGAGGGGGGAGTGTCTAAAGTTCTATGTCTGATGGCATTTGACCCTATTGCTTTTAGCTTTCTGGCTATATATCCACATATACACAGGTATATGTGTATATTTTATACAATTGCTGTCCACGTGTTGATAGCAAAGAGTTGGAGGAAATGAATTTTGAAACGTCACGGAGTGCTACCCTGCAGTACTGCCCTGACCCTTACATCCAGCGGTGAGTTTAAATGTGACATAAGTTCTGTCAAGTCGTCATGGGAGTGTCTTGTGTATTATAAATGTCTCTTCTGTGTTCCATAAGAGATTCCTCTTGCCCCAGGGAACTCAGAGATATCGGTTTGGATTTTATGTAGATTTAAATGGGTCGGTGGGCACATTTTCTAATTATCTCTGTTAGTTTAGCTCTGGATCTACACAGTAAAAAAGAAAAATTGAAGACAATCACTTTTCAAAACTATCACATCATTTTAAGATGTATGAAATATATTACTTGCCTTGCTCAAAACCCGCCCACTTGAGAAGAAGAAATTTCATTGGGCAGAGACATAATAATCTGTAAATAATCTTCAAATCAAAACTAACACCAAATGAGTTTGATTTGTATATTAAAAGTAGATCAGTAGCCATTGTGATACAAAATAGATTGTGATTTGTCATTTTAGCTATGAGGAATAATTTAGTTTTGATTTGTTTCATGACGAACATGATCAAAAAACTTTATATTGAATTTCATTTGTATTTATGGGAAGAAATATTTGCCCAGCACTGAGATGGAAAATTAGTGAAAGTACACAACTTTGTATTTGTGTGTATTGTCTGTGTGTGTGTGTGTGTG